GTTTTTAATGTTTGTTGTGAATCACCCAGAGTTCCCCCATTGGGGGGGGATGGGCGGTTGAAAATTTTAATAAATAAAATAAATAAATAAACTGCTTGCTGCTTCTGGCTTCCAGGCCAGTGCTTGTTCAGAAGCTGCTGCTTCTTAGTTAAGATGTTTCTTCGCTGCCTAAGGAAAGAAGAGCTTAACTTTCTTGACCTGCTATCATCAACATCATCCAATGAGTAGGCTGGCCCAACACTATGCAGGAGGTGAAGCAGAAATTGGCTTGCAAGTTGATGACCAGTTGCCCCTGCCTGAAAGATTTACGATCAAGTGAATAGATATTCCAGCACTTAGGGGAAAAAAACACTTATGTGAGTTACTTTCAAAACAACCAGTTTATGCAAGTCATGTGTGGCAGGCGCGACCTGAGGATGGGGCATTCCTTCCTGAAAAGAGCAAAGTGGAGGAACTGATGTAGTGAACTAAATGTCCTAACATGAAGTGTTCATGACTAAATGATCTAGTGGTCACCCAGGGGCTAGAATATACCAAGCAGTGTACATGGAAGACTGGAGCAGCTACTTTGAGATGTAGAAAGAAAACATTCTTTGTGGCCACAATGGCATTCACAGATGAATGTATATACTCAAAAACTGACAATCTTTCAAAACCTAACACTAGACTAAGATGGTGGCCGCTGCAGCACATGCAAACCTAGTATCAACCTACCAATTGATGTGCTCCTCTTTCAGAGCTAGACTTTTTATGGAGATGTCACATATTTCTTCTCTTTGGCAATAACACATTTGCCAGTTTTCCTGCTAAATTCCTGAAGATTCAGAGATCAGAGGTTGGTAACAGAAGCACAGCAAATCAGATGGACCATAAAAAAAATCTGATCAGCTAAAAGGAGGTTTTAGAGACTCCGGATGAGGAAGCTTCACAACAACCAGCTGCACCTTTGGGGGAAGGGCTGATCCCAGAGAAGGCCAAGCAGAGTCAGACCTGGCCAGGATTGGAATAGGAGGCTACCAGGACATCCCAGTGCAGAAGTAAACTTCTTAGAGGAAGGCAATGAAAACCCACTCCCACACCGCTGCCAAGGAGACTATAGTTCAACGCAAGGGAGACTTTCCTTTCCTCATGATGAGAATGTACAGCAGCCCTCAGCGGCTCCGGGAGGAGCCTGCAGGGACGGCACGCCGCGGGTGGCAGGGCGAAGAGGAAAGCTCCTGGACTCTGGCCTGGCCGCCGCCTCCTCCCGCGAAGACGCGCGTCGTCCTCGGAGAGATGAGGAGGAGCTCAGAGTCGCAGAACTTAACGCCCCTCCGGGAAAGTGCCCATTTTGGCCCGTATCACCAAAGGTCGGGTTCGCGCCACGGCAGCCCCGGGGTCCCAGCGGGGAAGCGGCTCTTCTCCCGGGAATCAACGGGGCGTTGTTTCCCTGAGGAGCACGCGCGGGGCGGCAGACACTCCACGCGAGCCAGCCCCGCGAAGCGCGGAGGCGGCGCTCCGAGTCAACCTGCCACGGCCTGCCTCGCAACCGCGCCCCCTTCCTTCGCCTCCGACCCGCGGAGCCCTTACCGCGGAACTGGAACTGGGCCACCACCTGGCCGGCGCGGGCCGCGGTGCTGGAGAAGCCGCCCTGGACGGTCTTGGCCTGGGCCCCGCGCATCCAGGCGCAGCTCCCGCTCCAGAGCGCAACCCAGGCGAAGCACAGGCGCCACTCCATCGCCCCTTCGGGACCCACCGTCACCTCTCCCCCATCCCGACCACGTCTGCAGCCGCCCCGAGCCCGGGCGGAACGAGGAAAGGGGCGGCAGCCAATGGGAGAGGGGTTTACCGGGAGGCTGGCCAATGAGGGCCTTCCGAGGCGAGAGCGGCCGGGGCAGAGAGAGGCGTTGCCCCGCGCCACCTCTCACAGGCGGGCTTCCAACGGGCATTAGGAAGACGGTTGCTAGGAGAGGAACGCTCCACCCGCCACGTCACTGAAGTTGGATGGGATGGGGGAGGGAGAACCACGGCCAGGGCAGGCGACGTGGATGGTGGTGGCCGAGTCCGGGAGCGCATCCAGTCGAGCCCTATTTTTACATTTCTGGTCTGGGTGTGCTCTTCTCACCCAGCCCAAAATCTTCCAGACGTGGAGGACCAATTCTGAGCCCGCGTGGCCTAAATGCCAGCAGCCCCATGTAACTTCAGCTTGTCCCAGTTGCGCATGAATGAAAAATGCTTTTAAACATATTTGGTAAACTAGTGTGAATGGTTCTCTTCTGGGGAGCGGAAAAGGTTGCTCCATCTCAGGAGTCTACTGTAAGCCCACTATACTAAACGAACTCGCGTGTCCTCTAAACGGTGCCTCCTTCTTACATCCTGAACGCTGGCTTTCTGTCAGCAGCTGGAAGGAGGGCTTTCTGGTCCAAGGCGCTTGGAATACCATCCCTGCTTGCTTATTGAGACGTTCGGTTGCTTAGGTTCCCACAACACCTTTAACCCGGCCGATCTGACAATGCTTGTACGGAATCCGCTCCTCTGGGTTGGCTTCAACGTTGGCTTGCTTTCTCCTGGCACTGTGTTGTGCAAAGGTCCCTGACTAAGAGACTGGCGTTACTACTGCGACGTTGGACTACAGTACCCATCGCTTACAGGCTCGCGGGCGCCGTGTTACAGAAGCGGCAAGCCCCGGAGGAGGCGCCAATCGCGAGGCTCCCCGGGCAGAGCGCGCGCGAGAAGATCGCCCTCGCGGACGGAATTGACGTAAGGAGCGGAAGTGGCGCCCGGCTCGCTCTGCGGGAGAATGTGCGCGGGGGTCCTGCTGCCTGGGGGGGCTCCGCGTCCGCGGGGTTCGGCGAAGCGAGTCCTGGTGACCGGAGGCGCCGGCTTCATGTGAGTTCCTGCGGGGAGGGGAGGCGGGGAAGCGGCGGCTCGCTTTGTGTTTCGTTTTCCTCGCTTCCAGGAAATGGGCAACGGTAAATGATGCGCTGAGCGAACATCCCGACGCAGGTCATTCGATGTGTAAAGAGAAGCCGAGAAAAAGTAGCCACTTAAGGTGTTTTTGAATGGGAAGGACAGCTTTGAGGGGTATTTGTTTTAGTTAATCCTGAAACGTTAATCATAAATAAGACTAAACATTGAAAACGAGCTGTACAAAAACAAAATAAATGTATAATTTGGGACTATATAAAATGTGTTTATGCTCTTAGAGAAAAATTTAAATGTATCTGTGCAATATTTATATCCAAAAACACTGTGTAAACAGAGGTAGAACTACTTCCTCCATATAAGAAAAAGGAAGGGTAGCATCTGCTTTTGAATTCCTAAAGTAGGTACACAGTAAGTGGCTTAACGGTTCCGGCTGAACCGTGTGCAAGTAAAAAGAAGCTGAATTGCCCAGTTCAGGTTAGAGCTTCAGCATGAGTTCTTTTTTGCTTATCTAATTTTTGATATAACTTTTTTTTAATAAAGCCAGTAACCAGAGATAACAAGTTAGCTGCTTATTCCCAGACTTCTTTCCTTTCCATTGGCCATAACCAAATGTTTTTTCTTGGAAAAGTTCTTCTATTTGATTCACTGATACTCTCATCCAAATTGTGCATTTGAAACCCAGAAAGGAAGTTGTTCACCTGATGAGGGCTGCTTCTGTGCTCTCAAGTCTTTGTGTATTCTGCTTTTTTTCCCCCAAGCCTCTTCCTATACATTCATTTCCTTACTCCAAATCTCAATTTCTTTTATATTAAACCTCTTCCTGATAGCACACTTTTCAGGCCTCATATTTGAGACTGAAAAATATTTGAAATTTCTATAATTGACCATAACCTTGCATATTTAAAGTTTTGCTAGTTTGTTTCCCACAAAATTAGTCATGTTAAATACATGGTTTAAAGAACATCAGAATAAAGTATCATTATTGCATGTGATATGTCCTGTGAGCATTTCTCAAAAGTACTAAAAAAGATTCCACTCCTCTTAATTATGGCATATTTCTTAGTTTTGATTGAGAGGTAATCAAACGTCTTAGTTTGGGCTTGAGAGAGAAGCAGAAAAAGGTTTACACCTCCTGATCTTACTGCCAGAGCAAATAATGCGGAAAGCTATTGAATTGATGTAAATGAACAAGATTTAGAAAAACAACTGAAGTCTGGTGTGTGTTCTGCATTTGAGATATGTTCACCATGTTTTCTCTTCCAAAATTGACAGTGCTTCCCATGTGATAGTTTCTCTTGTGGAAAAGTACCCAAACTATATGATCATTAATCTGGATAAGGTAAGACCATTGGTTTAAGTAAAATGAACCATTAAATATTTGACAGGCAGGTAGTACCCTAAAAAGAGCTGTACTGTCAGATGGTGGGAGGGGAGTCTAAGGTGTCACCCCAGGGTTCTGAGGCTGTAACCTATTCCTAAAGGTTGGTGTGCTAATAGTGTTTAAGGTGGATGAATTTATATACCCACATGTCTTTATAACTGAGCATGTCTGTGAATTCTGAATCATAGATGCAAGTCAAAGAACAAATTCTGCTACTAAATAAGAGTTTGAATTATTCAGTTTCTAAAAACTTAGAAGTATGCTGAAAAACATTGCAAAACTTGTTCATTTTTCCTGATCCAATTTTGCCCAAGCACAGAGTACTTATGAATGTATACCTTTACCCAGCAATTGTGACAAACAATTGTGGCAGTGGGATATCAGCATTTGCAATGCTAATGTAAAGGGAAAGGCAGGCATGTACCTGTGTCCATGTGAAGCCATAGAGCTTTTAGAAAGCTGCTTCTGCAAAAGTTGGAACTCCTGGATCAAAGCATTTTTTTTTGAAAAAACTCTGGTTTTTAGCAACCTCTTGCATAAAATACTTTCTCTTTCCTTTTCTGTTTTTGTTAAGCTGGACTACTGTGCAAGCTTAACAAATCTTAAGACAATTTCTGAGAAAGAGAACTACAAATTTGTTCAGGTAAGGTAACTTTTTTGCATTCATTGTTTTTAAAATCAAATGACTAAGGCTTCAGTTGTAGCAAGGTAGTGAGTTAGGTGGTATGACAAGATATAGTTGACTCAAATTAGGGTGCCATATTCCCAGGCTCTGTATCTTCAGAAGATTCATCAGTAACTTGAGTGAAAAGATGGAGGGATTGATTAATAAATTTGCAGTTTATTATTTATTTATATTTATTTATTTATTAATAAATTCAAAACAGTCTGAGTAAATTTGAGAGCTGGGTTAAAAATAAGAAAATGAAAGTGAACAGGTAAAGACGAAGTTCTTCACCTAGGACACAAGTCAAATGTACAGATATAGGATGGGGGATACTGGCCTGGTAATAGTACTTGGGGAATTTTTTTTGGAATAATAGTTGATTGCAAACTAAATTTGAGTCAGCAGCATGGCGTGGTGGCTAAAAAGGCAAATGCAGTTTTAGGCTGCTTTAACAGAAGTACAGTTTCCAAGTCATGGAAAATAATTGTTTTGTTTTATTCTGCTTTGGTCAGACTGCACCTTGAGTACTGTGGCCAGTTCTGGACATTGTATTCTAAGGATTCCAAGAAACTGGAAGCATTTCAGAGAATTATTGATGACTATGATCATGTGGAAATCAAGCCCTATGATTGAAGTTATATTTAGCTTTGATTTGGGGGGGGGGGAGAAGAGAACAGTGCTAATCCTAATTAGAATTCTGTACTAAGGAGTTGGAATTGGTGTAAAATTCCCCCTTCCAGCTCTCTGATTCTACTGTGCAATTGTTACAAGATGAAAACTGAGATGAAAGCCTACAATTTTCTATAAAATTATGTACCAATTATATATTGAATGCTTAGCATTGGGAAAAAAATATGGTGTCCATACTTATTTTGTATTTTCTTTTTTCTTTATTAGGGAGACATCTGTGAACCCAATTTCATAAAAGAATTATTTGAGACTGAAAAAATTGATATAGTGTTACATTTTGCAGCTCAAACGCATGTAGGTGAGCATGGCATATTCCTGTAATTGTCACATCTTGCAGGATTGATAAAACATTCCTAAATAGCTTCTAGGTTTCGTGGAAGGGGCAGAGCTAACATTTCATGTAATAGGCTGCATATTTTGATATGGCTGGTGGTGGAGACTTAAATATTGCAGTTTGCCAGCTGTTGAACCCTGTTGAAGTATAGCACTGCTACTAGATTAAATGGAGCAATTTGTAGACAGTCCGTTCAGTACATTTATTCTTTAGTATTTTTATTTGGTATATGCTTATATATAGGTGCAGCACAAGACTTATTTTTGCTGAGGTTTTGTTATGTTGCTGCTATGTTTACTAGAACATTTGAAAAATCTTACCTTTTAATGTAGGTCTTCAGTTCTTAGGGTTGCGGAAAGGAAACTGAATAGGTACAGATTCATAAAAGGACCATGGCTGCATCTAGCACAGACTTGTGTTCTCATTCAGGTTTCTAGGATTAGTATGCTTAATTCTGCATTAGATTCTGGCCTTTAAAAATAATTTTAAATATTGTATGTTTTCCTCATTTCTATGCTACTAAGTCTGATAATCAATTTTAGAATAGCTATTTAGCTTAAACTGCTATGTGTTTGTTTAAAAGATTCGTTTCTGGCTTTTTAATTTTTAAAAAACAAAGGCAGTCTCTCCTAAACATAAACATAAAACATTAATTAAAATACGGAAACACTACTATGCATAAGCTCCACTTATTTAATATCTAGACTTCCAGTGTTTGCTAAATATATTATGTGTGTCTGAAGCATTAGCAAGGATTTCTTTGCTCAAAGTGGGGAGGTTTGTAAGCACAGCTCTTCCTCTCTGTTCACAAAGAGAGAGAACTTTTCTGAGCTGCGGTCCTTGCTCCATACTTCCATGGACTACAAGGTTGCAGCCTTAACATTTTAGGGTGTTTTGTTGTGTGATATTTGGGGGATAAAGAACATATTTTTCTATAAGAGCAGTTAAGGATTATAATTGTTTTCAGTTGTCAAAGTGACACCCTCTCTATTCTTTTTGACTGAAAATTTAGATCTTTCATTTTGGCACAAACTTGAGTTCAACTATGTTAATGTATATGGAACATACATTCTGCTTCGGGCTGCTTATAAGGCTAATGTGGAAAAGTTTGTATATGTCAGTACTGATGAAGTGTATGGAGGAAGTTGTGATAAGGTGAGCTGGACTTAGATATTATTGGTTGAAGTCACTTACTTGTCTTTCTGTGTGGATCTGGATGATTTAACAGCTGCAAATTTATACAGAGGTTATAGTTTTATTTTATCATTTTTATGTATAAGCAGCCTAGAGTCGTTGTACAGTGAGATGGGCGGTGTATAAATTTGATAAATAAATAAATAGTTGATAATATCAACATTTTAAATCCTTATGATATTTCCTGTTAAAAGAAGGTATTGAAGATGCCCATTTGTGCATACTTCAAGACATTTTCCTGATGGTAGTTTGATGTAAGCAGTACAAATTATGAGTACAGGTAGTCCTCAGATTATGAGAACAATTGGGACCAGAATTTTTATGCTAAGCAATGCAGTTGTAAAGCGCAATGTCATGTGACAGTGTCGCTTAGCGATGGCAATTCCAGCAGTCCCAATTGCTGTAATTAAGTGAGGATTGTGTGGGTCGTTAAGTGAGGACCTCACATGATCGCAGCTTCCTGCTAGCTTCCCCATTGACTTTGCTTGTGGGAAGCTGGCAGGGAACATTGGAAATCATGATCATGTGACTGTGGCTCACTGCGATGGCTGAAACTCTGAGGACTAGTCATAAATACCATTTGTTCAGCACCATCATAACTTTGGACAGTTGCTGAATGAATGGTTGTAACATGAGGACTACCTGTATATATTTTCCAACTGGATGCTTAATAATTGTTTCTGGTATTAGAGTTACTTATACTAATTAACTGGAGCCATTTGTAATCTGCTGCTCTATCTGTGTGAAAATTTACTTCATGTAAAGCTTTTGTTGCAGGAATTTGATGAATCCTCACCCAAACAACCAACAAATCCTTATGCAACATCTAAGGCAGCTGCTGAATGCTTTGTCCAGTCTTACTGGGAAAGATATCAGGTGAGCAGAAATGACATTGGAGGTGGTAAATGCTTCTATCAGTTATCTGTTTATTTCCAAAGGGATGTGAATGCACAAAAAGGGGCACTAAAGCTAGTGATTTGTCCCATACAGCTGGGGAGGGTAACTTGGAGGCCACACTTAATGGGAGGAGGTTGAGGCCCACCATATGTCATGGTGAGGTCATGGCTTTTGTTTAGCATGGGGGAAGAACAGGGTATTTTAAAACTATATGAAAGTTATTTTAAAGTTTACACTATAGTTTTCTACTATAGTTTGCTTCCAAATGGGAAGGAACCATGCCACTAATTTTTAGCAACTTGTTTGGAAGCAGATTTGGACATTATGTGTAGCTTAAGGGATCCAGATTGCTCACCCCGTTTTTAGAAGCCAGCTTGTTCCTTGGACTTTCATCTTGAATGTTAAGTGCAGTGGGTCAAGATAGATCCTTCTGCTAAATGTGCCATTTTGATCTTAGCCTCTGTGCCTTAGCAATGTGTATCTTTTTGTTGTTGCTATTCTGCTGGGAAAAAATAATGGGTGAAGTCAGGCATCACGTGAATGCATTTGGATATCAGTCCTTAGCAGTAGAACCTTAGGAAGCAAAAAACTAGGGGAATTGCTGCTATTGTGGCAATAGAAATTATGCCATCAGGAAGGGTTTAACTGGATATCATTCATGTTAGGTCATTAATAGCAATTTTGACTGGGTTCATTTTAATACAGTTGTCATGTATACGTTAAAGTTTCCAGTGGTTATCACACGGAGCAGCAATGTCTATGGACCCCATCAGTTTCCAGAAAAAGTAAGTTAAATGAAAGCCTTTCTACTTTTTAGTTTCTTGAGCTTTTATAGTTTGTCATGGAAACGTCATGGAAGTGACAAACTGCATACTATTTTTAGGACAATTCATGATATGGCCAAGATATAATAAATAATAAATTGATCAGGGTGCAATCCTCTCATAGACCCAGGGCATTTTAGTCTCTGGAAAATGTTCCAAAAGCTGGACCTGCATCTGTTATCAGATCCCATAATTATCCAAAGCTTGACCATTATGAGATATCTATGCTTATAGTAGAGTATTTCCCATTTCCATCCTGCATACAAGTCTAAGTGAAATGAAGATCTGCAGCAAAATCTTTCTAATTTATTTGTAACTAAATCTCATTGTATTTGATGATGCAATTGTATATTAAGTTTATTGTAGACTAAGTACAGTCTAAATTGTATTCTATCATTTTACGTCCAAGTTGAAGTTTTGAGATTTCTGGTGGGTAAAGTTTTTTTTGTAACTCAGCTGAAATGTTTACAGAGCTAGCAGGGTCTCCAATTAGTACAGTGTTTATAAGACTTCCAATTATTTTGGGGTAGGATGTGACCAGAGACTGCCTGTTGGACATCCTTCAGCTAGAAAGTGATAATATCGGACTTAACTCTTGTGAATCTTCTCTGTCACTGATAACTGCCTGCAGAAGATTAGTCTTAGTGTTATCTCCAGTAATAGCCCAATTAAATTACAGTTTTATGTCTAGGCTGTATTTTGAGGAGTTTTAATATAAAGAATGAATAGAGTGAATGTTGTAATCTAGCTCAGGTTTCTAATATATGAAAATGGGCTTTGCTGCTTTAAGAATTCCAGGTGGATAGGAAGCACTCTGTACAGCATGTACATGCAATCCCTCTCTTCCCTCCAGCAGCACCACTGTGCAGATGTGTGCCTGTTATTTGCCTCCACTTTCCCTTTTAATCAGCTTCCTTGGAGTTGAAGCAAGGCTTGAGCTTTCCCTGTCCCCCCACCCTATACTTCCTGTTACTGGATGCACAATTCCATACAAATCTTTTGATGGAACGTAGGAATTTTATGTTCATTGCTAGTATTAATGAGGACATACTTCAGCAATGAAGCTGCATCATTCTCTGTTTCAAAGTAGGATGAATTTTAACAACTGTTCATTTTGTCTTTTATATTTCCTAGGTTATTCCTAAATTCATTTCTCTCTTGCAGCAGAATAGAAAATGGTATGTGTTATATTTATGCTCATTTAAAAACAACAACAGTGTTTTTAAGAAACAAACCATGTCACACTCTGAAAACTCAACTATGGTTAAAAATTAGTCATGGCCATAAAATTAGTTCCCATCTTTGAGACCTCCATGAAGCCTGGAGCTATTTTGATGTGCATATTGGTTTTGATCAAATGGGAATTGGTATTTGGGTATTTAATATCTTGTTCCACCAGCAGAGGTCATAGGATTTGTGCTAGATCATATTCATTATTTTGTGCTTTTCACTAATCTAAAATCTTGGTTGAGGGAGCTGTATGCTTGTGTGTGTGTTAAATCTCTCTTTCTCCCATTGCCCCCCACCCCCAGCAATCTGCAGTTTATGAGTGTGATGTTATATGTGTCATCTGGAATGTTGTTGTTGATAAAAATGGAAGATAGATTATCATTTGCTTTTTACCCAGCAAAAACTGCCAGTTTGAATAATAAAATGAAAGTTTTAAGGTTTCTTCTGCCTACCTTTTACAGGTAGTCCACGCTTAACAACCACAATAGGGACTGGAAGATTGGTTAAGTGGGGCAGTCATTAAGTGAGTCACCCCATGACCAGACCTAATTTTACAACCATTTTATGACAGTTGTTAAGTGAATCATGTAGACGTTAAGTGAATCCAGCTTCCCCAATGGACTTTTTTGCTGGAATTTGCTTAATGACCATGTGATTCGCTAAATGACTGCCGTAAAAATGGTCATAAAATAGTGATCCTGACCGCAGGGGGTAGTGCGATGGTTTGTGATGGTTGTGTGATATAGGTCGTAAAGCAATTTTTCTGAGGCCATCGTCACTTTGAACCATCGTTAAACAAACGGTCATTAAGCGAGGACTACCTGTAGTGAGTTACTCCTTGAAAACTTGACTAGACCATTCTGTTATTAGTGAGGGCCTTGTTTTTAATGACCCATATTAAAAATATCCACTCTTGTCTTTTCCTTTAGTTGCATTCATGGTTCAGGACTTCAGAAAAGAAATTTTCTTTATGCTAGTGATGTAGCAGAAGCATTTCTTACTGTTCTGAAGAAAGGGCAGCCAGGTGAAATCTACAATATCGGGACCAGTTTTGCAATGTCTATTACACAGCTTGCAAAGGAATTAATCCATCTTGTGAGTAATAAGTAAACAGAAAATAGGTGGCCTAAGCAACAGCGGTAAAATAGGCAAGAGCTGACCTGAGCTCGCTGAACAGACAGATCTTGGTTTTTATTTAAACGTTTGACATTTTAAACTTCTTTTTGCTTCCATTTTTTAATGTTTGAAATTCTGTAATGGAAAAAGTCACATGACAAAGCACAAGGATGGATCAATACTGTGATACTCGGTTCTGTGGAGGTGTAAGAGAAACTCTCTCCTTGGCTCTTGTGTCATTCACACTCCTTCCTGTTCTTTGCTCAAATCAGAAAAAAAGATCCTTAGACTTAGTCCAGGGGAGCAGATAACTGGTCTGTCATAAGGGCTGGTCTACTGAAATTACGCATTACTAGATTTTCTCTATTGTAGTTCTGTTTTGTGACAACCATGCCCACATCACTGTATCTTATGCTTTTTAAGTGTTACAAGCTTTTGAGGAGCCGTGCAGAATATATGAGGAAATCTTCAGTGATGGTGTTCATAGTGTTACAGCATAGTCAGCAATACTTTTAAAATGAATTTGAAGATTTGTAGTCAACTCTTTCCCACTAGTTGCGGCTTTTGAGGTCAGGCAGCCTTTGTGAAACTGCCAGCAACATAGTTCTAAAATAGAAAAATGGGACCACATCTACCCTTTCATGTCTTCCCATTAGCTACTCTTTTTGCATCCATAACTCTATAATATTTATATTGTACATTATGTTTGGAATAGTCCTGCTAATGCCAATGAGATTAGTCCTGATTGAAGTACATTAATAACAAATCCATATAAAAGCTGTCCATTTATTCATTAAAATACCTATTCAAAGAATGTTACCCAAATCAATATACATTGTCAAATATTTCATTGGTAATATGCATCTTTTCCTCATTGTCAGATTAAAAATACTAGTTCAGAAGCCGAGATAGAATGCTGGATGGATTATGTTAAAGACAGGTAAGACAATAATGTTTTCCAAGAGTAGGCTTCATTTCAAATCATTTCTTTGGATTGCTTTCTTTTTGTATAATCATCTAAAACGTTACTATTTGCCACAGAGTTAGAGACATAACTCTGTCAATTCTGAGAGAATGTAGACAAGCTGAACCCCAAGGTTTCCTGATCCATTCCTTTGTGGAATTGGTTGTTGTATCGAGAAGACAGCATGGAGCTTTAGTGAATCCCTTTTCCTACTCCAGAGCAGAAAAAAAGAGGGGAGGCTTGTAGAGGACTTGGCAAGTTTGATCAAGATAATCCGCAGCTTTCTGTTAGTCTTCCAGCTGGAGATGGGAGGGCATTTCTGCATACTGTACACTGAACTGGTTCCCAGCCTCCTCTTCAGTTCCAAGGTTGAGAGAAAAACTGTAGCTTGAAGCATTCTTTGTCACGCAGTTGAAAATCTAAAGGCTTGTATTGGCAGACTAATTTTCACTAGCCATAAGTCTTAAGATTTTAAAAACTAGGAAAGATTCAATCTGAGGAGTGAAAAGCTTTAAATACATTTGTATGGAATAGGAAAGAATATTTTCTTTACAATTCTCTCTTTAACAGTTCTGTTTCATTATTTTTTTTTGTCATTAGGATATTGTCTTGCAATAGTCTCTGTTTTTTTCCATTTTCATTGCTTCTGGTCTCAGTTTCTGTTAATTACCTGTCCTGTCTTGTTTTAAAAGATTAGCAAAATTACCATCTGCACAGGGATTTTTGAAAATGAGTGATTTGCTATCAACAAAATTAAGCATTGTCTGTTGACTCTAAAGAATACTGATACTTAGAAATGTTTATGAAGAGTGACTCATCTTTATTGAACATAAGAGGCATTGGGTGCAGTTGGACGATGAAGAATTAAAACGTATATGACCAGTTTCAAATGGAAGGGATAATCTGTAAGGATTAGACTGCATAAAAGCTTGGAAACATCAAAGAGATAGGGAATTTCTAGTGTGCTTACTTGGTTATTAGCAAATACTGGGTGCCGATTTGGAGACAATTGCCTTTACAGATACAAGTGCCATCTTCAGCGACTGTCAGCAGCTTATATGGATACTGAAACACAAAAAATATCTCATATTAGCTCAGAATTGTGTGGTGTTTTCCCCCCTTCCCCCTCCCTTTAGCCAAGAGTGGAGGTAGACAACACTTTAAGAATAATAATATAGTCAGATAACTCAGTTGATACTCTATTTGAGGCATTTCTGCTGTTAAACAATATTTTGATTTTTTAGAAAAAGCTAGCACTTAGAGTTGGAGTTAAATAAATCAGATTTATCCAATAAACTCATTGGATAATAGTTGCTTGAAGCAATGCAATTAAATACTGCAACATAGCTGAGCTCCTTGTAAAACTAATCATGTATAGCTTCTGAAACAACTTTTTCTTCTCTCTGCTTATTAAGTTACATAACTTAAATGACTCTTTGTTTGTTAGCTTCATGCTAAGTAAGTGGTGGGTGGGAGGTTAGTAAAATGAACTTGTGCTTAGAGTACAAGTATGTATGTGGTGTGGCTAATGTGGGGCCACCCGTGTTAAATTATTTATCCTGAAACTGGCTGATGCCTTAGGGATTAGTTTAACCAAGGATATTCTGAGCATTCCATGAGCTCCTAAAGTAGGGATAACAAGCATCTTCAAATATCCTTTTCTGGATTTCTTACATTTTCTGCAAAATGTTCTGAAATACAGTATAACAACAAAGATGGGATTTTCCCTGCTAAAATCTGATGCTCTAAATTGATTTACATCTGGTTTGGTATGTTTAAATTATGTGTGCCTTTTTGTTTTAATTTACATATTCCATCTCTGGTAAAGATGGAATAGGTTGTGCAAAGTAAAATTTAAAGTATATTTGATCCAAATGTATTAAAATATATACACATTCTCTCTTTTTTCCTAGGGACAGTAATCTAGAACTGTACAATTTGATTGCCTACATTATGTGTTGCTTATTCATTTTAAGGCTGACTTTAAAGAAGATGAGAGTCAGTTTGGTGCAGTGGTTAAGGCACCAGGCTTGAAACTGAGAGATTGTGAGTTCTAGTCCAGCCTTAGGCACAAAGCCAGCTGGGTGACTTTCATGTAGTCACTCCCTCCCAGCTCTAGGAAGAAGGCAATAGCAAATTGTTGGCCTTGCTGGGTAAACCAGATAAAAATCATAACCAGATGAGTTAATTCTACTTCATTGTAAAGCTACATGGACAAAATCTTGCAAGTCTGAAATTACATCTCTCCTCCCTTTACAGCCCAAGAAACTAGGGAGGGTCCTTTCTGAGCCTCCTGCCCTGCCTGCTATCCAGTTGCGGGCTATGCTGTCTCTGATCTGACCATTCCCTTGGCAGCGTTTCTTGGCCCTGTTTCCCAAGGTCTTTCCCACATGCTATCACCCAAACACTTCCAAAAATGTTGCCAAGAAAACTGCAGGGACTTGTCTAGGCATCACCATGAGTCAACACTGACTTGAAGGAACAAATTTCCTTTTTTTTTTTTTTAAGAAATGGTAACATTTCACATGGGACATTTCTGCATAATTGAATTATTATTTTCTCCATTGCTGCTACTATCCTATGGTTGTAGCTACTTAATTTGATATTTTGAATTATTTCAGTGGTATGACTGATTAGTGTGGATTAACGTTCAGCTTTGTTCTACTTAAATGTGTGTATTTTAGTAGCAGAAGGAAGGGATCTCTCTCAACTTAAGGGCTGATCCAAAGGAAGGTGCCTTTGTAATGGTAACAATTGCTGTTTCTGTTGAAAGACTTTTTTTCTTTTTTAAAGACCTACAAATGACATGGGATATCCAATGAATTCTGGAAAAATATACAGCTTGGGCTGGAAACCTAAGGTGCCTTGGAAGGAAGGAATCAAGAAAACAAGTATGTTATCTGTACATTAGAATGGGACTAGAATGGAAATGAACAGCCATCATAAGCTAATTTGGAAAATAAAGTTTGCATAGTTCACATGTTAATTTGTCACAGAATTGGACAGTTGAAGTTGCAGTTTCTAAAGTGAGGAACTTGCTTTTGAGTTTTATGAGTTTAATCAGCCTGAGAATACGCAATGTTTGTTGCAAGAATCCTGCTGTTGGATGCAGGTGGAAATCTGAGCACAAATGATCTGTGCCAAAGCAGCAGTTATACCTGCCAACATGACTACTTAATCCCGGGTATCATTTGTCCTGTTGTCATGTCTTAGATTCATATAGAGAGCTCAATGTTCAGTTGTAAGAACAGCAGAAAGTAGCTAATACACATTTATAAATTTTACCCGCAGCATTTTTGTTTGCATGATTCCATGTGTTCTGTTTCATTGTTTAAATTATGCATTCCTGCCCCCCCCGCAAATTTGCAGTTCTCAAGTTTAGGTTCCATATTAAAAAAATATTCATCCTGTCCTCAGAACATTAATGAATGGGATCCAGAAATTGCTTTGTGTGAATGAGAGGCATCTCTGTTTATGAAAGAGACCCTCTGCCTCTTTGTAAACTTCTACAAGTCCTTGTGCTACATTGTAGAAGGCCCTCCAGTCTTGAAGAATATACACTATATAATATAGTTGGCATCTTTTCCCCTTTTTGGAATATTCTGGTTCTCTAGAAAAACAACACAAGATTTTCAGTACCTTAAAGTCAAGAAACATTTGTGGATGAGAATACACATTTGAACG